TAATATCCATTCACAGACAAATAGACGTGGAGACAATTAGACGTCAAAAATAAAGCATGAATACCTAAATCAAACAATACTAATAATATAGTTTTATTTTTTTTATTTATATATTTAAGCAATTTACAATCTATACAACATTATGTACAATGGGCAAATTTGATAATTAATATAATATGAAATAACAGAAATTAGCATTTAGGGGCAGGCACTCAGCAGCACCATCCGACCGAGAACATTTTAGATGTCGAGGGTTTTATTTTTTATTTATTTTTTTAGCAGGTCTSTAGGCCACTGCCTTTTTAGTCTTCTGCGTACGTTGCCAGGAAGTGAGGTGGAAGAAAGTTGCTTTATTAATGGATTACTGTGAGAGTTTAAGTTGGAGTGAAATTTAGAGTAATRTGCTTTTGCTAATTGATTAAATGTAGGAATTTTTAGGTCTTTGTGAAGATTTTTGTTTGTGAAATACCAAGGAGAAAACGTTATTAATCGTAGGCAGATAGATTGAAAAGCTTGAAGAGTGTTGGTGTTAGAGGGCTTTGCAGAGCCCCATAACTGGATACCATATGTCCAAAATGGTCGAATTATTGATTTGTATACTGTAAGTTTATTGAAAAGGGAAAGCTTGGATTTTAAGAGTGGTCTAAGGATATGAAGTCTAGAGTTTGCGTTTGGCTTTAATGTGTGGGCTCCAGGTTACGCGTTTGTCGAGAGTTAGTCCGAGGTATTTGACTTCGTTTGCCTTAGGAATTGGTATATTGTTTAACGAACAGTTTCGTTTATTTTGATTTCCCATCTGTTTTCCCACAAGCTGATCTTATTTTTAAATGGTTTTGGATCATTTCACTGGCTGTGACGTGGCATTCGTGGGAGGCGGTTATTAGCGTTTCATCAGCGTATGTGCCTAAAGATGTATAAAAGTCTTGGGTATGTCATGAGTGAAAATCGAGTAAAGGAATGGAGCGATGTCGCTTCCTTGTGGGACTCCAGCTCTAATAGTGTRACGGGTTGAGTAGGTGTTGTTTAAGCGAACAGTAAAGAAACGATTTGATAGATATGATTTTATTAAGAAGAAAAGAGGGGCGGGTAAGAACTTTTTAAGTTTGTACATTAGTCCGTCGTGCCAAACCCGATCAAAGGCTTGGGAGATTTCAAGGAATACTGCTGTACAGAACTGTTTTTTTTTTTTTTTCCAGGGAGCTGGATATGATATCGACTGTTCTGTGTAATTGGTGCAATGTAAAATGTTTTGATCTGAATCCGAATTGTGTGTGTGGAATTATGTTTTTTGAAGAGTGAATGAGTCTTTTTAAAAGAATTTTCTCAAAAATTTTAGAAAAGGTTGGTAGAAGACTTATGGGTCTGTAAGAGGCAGGATCTCTGGTGGTTTATTGAGCTTAGATATTAGAATAACGACCGAGTATTTCMAAGTGTTTGGAAAGTACGATAGTCTGAAAATGGCGTTGAATATGTGTGATAAAAAAATTATATTTTTTTTGAGGAGGTTCTTTGTAATAACATTACTAATTAGATCATGACCTGGTGATTTTTTAATGTGGAGTTGCTTGATAATGTGTTCAATTTCACCCGGAGAGGTGTATTTAGCGGGAATAGTATAGTTAAAAATTAAAAAATTAAAACACAAAATCAAAAATAATGTATTTACACTCAATAAATTGGTTTTAAAATATTTAAAGAAAAATTAAAAATGTTAAAAACAAATAATTGAATATTAATTTAAATTAAATATTTTACTTACAAATTGTGTTTTAATTCTGGTTTGTATAAAATCAAAAATAATATCCATAATAATATATTATATAACTATAATAGTATAATCCTATTGTATCGTATTTTATATTTTATATATATATWTTTTTTTTTTGTACAGCATCAACTAATGTTCTTTTAGCTTAAACACTAATAATATTACTACATATTAATGAATACATTAGATTACTTAGATTGAGTAATATATGTATATGAATGTATTTAAGGAATAAAGTAATTTTTATGCTAGATTATATAATTGAATATTACATCGTAGTACTGAATTTTATTATTTTTACGTGAAATCAATCAAAATATTTTACTTCATACTTCTACTTAATTATTATAACATTTTAATTAAACTTGTATTGGGTAGAGTAAATAMAAATAATATGAATAAACATATTTGATATTGAATTTTAATTATTAATGTTTTTTACTACTGATATGTTTTTTTTGATTGATTCATCATATTTTTTTAACATGCTACGTCCATTTGTCCCTATTCGATAATATAATATTATAATATGACACTAATATAGTGGTTGACCAAATCAACTTACTGGTCTGATATATAATATTATAGAATGACAATATTAGAAATAATGATAATATAACATTCCGTGTACTAATCGGTATATTAATACTATCGTCTGTTACACAGTACAGTAAAGTGCCCGACCGGATGCTCTACACCTACATGACGTGTACGGTGTGTATATATTCGGCTATCACCGCGGGTCACGTGATTATTCTACCGCTGTGAGTATATAATTATTATTATTACTACGTACATATGTCATAACTTGACGATGGACTCAGAATTTTTTTTAATGGTGGATGCCATTTTGATAAAAATTCTACTATTAGTGGGTACTTATAATGAACAATATTGGAGTAAAAAACAAATTTAACTTATTCTTCGAGGTGATAGTGTACAGTCTACAATAATGAATACGTTTAGATATATAGTAGTAATCTTAACACCTAAATAATTTATAATTAAAAAAAAAAAAATGCAATATGCGAACGGTGGGTGCTTCTGCCTTCTGCGAGAACACCCTGTCTATAAATTCACCATCGGTCATCACATTATATTATCATTAAACTCTCTTTGCCAATRAAGTATTCGCCGACACCTTGCTAGATAACCGGACGTCTCGTCGTTTTCACGACATGGATATCGCAGCGTGCATTTTGTTATAATGTTTTCCGTGTCTCATTTTTCGTAGGTCCTATTTGTTGTTGGGATGTTTAATATTCGGATGGCTGACGATCTCCCTGTCGGCGGCAGTAATCTTTCGCAATCGTCTGATGGTAAGTGTACACCTCACCATAAACCTAATATTACAATATAATAATATTACGTATCAGCCATGGTGGGCACGGCAGACGACGCGACAATATTTTACTTTGTGCACTCTCTGTTTAAGGAAATTACGGAACCGCTGAAAAAAGCGTCGCAAACTATCAACCAGAACCGTTCTATAGCTCAATCGGTGGCCCTGGCCATAATCGTCTGTTGCTTTTTGACTTCCATGACACCGCTGGTACATAAACGCCATTATAAATAATGTTACATATGGTATAATAATTACCATGCTAGACCTCGGTCGGCTWCACGATGTTTTGGACACGAAACGATTAACCCACGACCGACTGTTGTCGCTTTATTTTCAGATCATACACAAACTGGAGGTGTGCTTCAACGAACAAAACCAAAATTCCACCGAAGTATTAGTCGTTGAAAATCCTATCATACAGGAGAGCACATGTCAACTTTTGTTTAACGTAATAATCTATAATGTCAAATTTTAACGGTTTATATAAAGTATTATATTATCGTCCGTACTGCATTGTATTGTAATTTGTAACATTTTGGTTTTTATACTTTTCCRCAGTACATGACCGTGTGCGTCATCATCTTGATGATATTGGTTGCTGTGTACCAAGTGCTTATCAGTCTAGTCAAACTCTCCCTGTTGATATTTATATCGTCTTGTTACTTTATATTTTCCAGC